TACCGATCGGACCTGAAACCAATCCGCTTTCAATCGGACCCGATAAGAACCGGCGCTCGAATAGACCCGACCCATGATCCGGTTTCTTATTCGGACCACGCGGAACCGGCTTGAGCGGTAAGGAGGCGAATCTATTGGAGCCCTCGAACCCGGAGGCCAGTAACGACGAGTCTGTCGACGGATAAGCAGAGAGCGCCGTTGAAGTATTGGCGCTAACGGAGGCGCCGGAGATTGAACGGAAAGTGGTGGTGGTTCCGGGAATCGGGTCGGGTCGGAGAGACGGTTCCGGCGGGAAAGGAGAATTTGTTCCGGTGAGTACTGGTCGGATGTAACAGAAAGAGTGTCCGAGGTTGTCTTGAACGAATCCGAGTCCGACATCGTCACGACTGGAAATTTCTCCGGCGACGGTTCCGGCGCAACAGTCACTGACACTGTTTCCCATTTGAAGTGGAAGGGGGAGAATTGGAAACTACGGAGCTACTAAAACGGCACCGTATGAATAGCTTTTTGGAGGTGTCGATGTAAAAAAACGATGACGTGTTCCTTGTTGGAGGCGAAACGGCACCGTAGAGGAGGAAGGTTTTGTGGAGACATTTTATGAATAGCTTTTTTGGCTATTTATGTTGTGGAGCCAAATGGTGAAACGAGTTGACTTTTAAGAGGTTTATTCTGTTAGCATAATTATTTTTTTTTAATTCTGATTTTTATTTGAATTGGTAAAATTTTGTGATGAAACATTTGACGAGATTTTTCTCGTTTTTAAGAATATACTTTTTTTTTTCTAGATTTAAATAAATTCTTTTTGAACCCGGAGGCCGGAACACATTACCCATCTACAGTATTACATATTTTTGACATCTTTCTCAGGGAAAATAAAAGATTTCACTACAAACCCAAGTCTAGTTTTGCATTTTACAAGTAGATTTTGTTTTGGGTCCAAGTTTGTATGGTTCATTTAAAGTATAATGTGTTTTTGGTGTTACGGAGTTGACTTTTAAAGAAGGGTACGTGTGGTTTTATTTTAAAAACACAACCTAAAAAGTTTGGAATAATTAAATTAATGGAATGCAAAAAGTCAAATGACTCAGATGTTAATTCCATGACCAATGTGGTTTAGACTAGTCGCAAAGAAGAAACTAATTGCAGGAAACTTGATTAAGCTTCTTTCTCTRGTTCTAAAGGGGAATACAAATCTTCTTTTTGTTGTTGTTGTTCTAAAGGGGAATACAAATCTTTATGCTCATGACTTAGCAACAGAATATGCTATTCATACTGTATAATGAAACCACAGATAGATGTCTCTTTTCTAAAAATAATCAATTTATTTGACAACTTCGTAAAAGACTTTTGCTTCTAAATTGTTAATTTTCTCTGTTGCAGTATTTAAACATAAATATCGTTTAAACTTTCAACATACCATTTATTACAAATTTTACCATTTTTGCTAAACTGTAAATATCATTTAGAAAATGAACAAACTAATTTTATCATTAGTAAAAATAAAATAAAAACACAATTTCAAAAGTTATATAGGTTTGCAGAAGCATGATGTTTCATTTATTTATGAATTTATATGAAATATATCAAACGTTAAAACGATATTTATATGTTGAAACGGATGGAATAATTACCGTATGTAGATATAAATTTTGTTATGTGTAAAACTGATTTTCTTTACTTTCTTACTTTCTGGTGCAGCCCCCCTGACTAAATAGTAGTAATTACTTTACATTATATAAAGAAGACTAAATACTCCCGACCAAAAAAAAAAGAAGACTAAATACTAATTACCATTGTCATGTGAATATCGCAATTACCAAGTATGAATGCAAAAAAAAGAAAACTATTGTTTTTTTTCAAATTGGAAATTATTTTTTTATAAAAGATACCAGATATTCTTGAAATAGCAGCTGGCTGCTTACGTTGCAATATGCATTGCATGAACTCTGCAATCAAATTTCTTTTTTATTTTGTCTAATTTTTTGAACATTTCAACATATATCATGTTTCTATTTTTGACAGACCTAAATAACAATGATAATAATACTGCTACTACTCGATTAAGTGGCATGATCAGGACAGAGTGTTCGAACATATAATTTTTTTAATTGTTTTATAAGTCAATTAATTAGTTTATATATAAACTTTTTTTTGTTTGAGAAACTGTTTATATATAAACTTAACCATATATTATGCTTAAGCACGTAATTATATTTTGCAGATCCTTTATACAAACATGTCAACGATTTTGGAATGGAGAACGTGGAAGCAAAGAGTTTTGTAATTAAATCCACATATATAATCTCTTGACTTTTTCCTATTGTGGAAACTTGTAATTATTTTATATGCCTGATTAAAAGTAAGAGGTAGACAATAATTAGGGATGAATACAAGTCGATTATTTCATTACGGACCACTAATTTTGTTAAATATATTCAATTTTCTTTGTTTCTATATAGTCAATAGACTCGAACAGATAATATTTTTTATATTCTTCGCTTTTAGAAAAGACCTCAAGGTCTTCTGCTCCCATGAGTTTGGAACTTCTTTCATCATAACAAATAAACAACTAACTTCCTTCAAATACATCAGATAATCACATCATATACAAGTAGAGATGATATAACATGGAAGAATGTGAATTGTGTTGCTAATTTTGTAATGAAATCTCACAGTACTCAATTACATTAGAAAACCAAGCAGGTGACTTTCTCTTGATATCTATTCTTCAGCTTCAAGAACATTAAACCTTTTAGGGCTGAAACGGATTGAGAATTTCGAGGAAATGGCTGCTCCTCGGATGAAGAAGCTTTCGAGAACCAAAAGAATCAATGTTGTAATAAGAAGGATTGGCCAATGAGGATATAAGCCAAGTTTAGGTGAAATTCGAGTTGTAACAAGAGGGATTGCACGGGTAAGGACAATCGATTAGCTTCACCGGTTTTCGGTTGAAGTACCAGTCACCTACAGATTCTGCAATTGTCTGGTTCCAACAACAAGAGACATGAGCCTGGTCAGGTCATTTGTAAGAAGAATGGCTCGAGAAAGCAAGCAAAGGATATTTACCTTATTTTCGATTCTTGTTGAGGTTGGGGAGTGCCATGTCACTGGCATAAGTGACTGGCAATGAGAAAAGCAGGAATCTATGAACATTCCACCAACTCTGTTCTGATGAAATACCCCGATCCCATCCATCAAAGAGCTGCGAAAACCTGCAGATCATGTAAGGATTTGCACAATTATAGCTGACCATATAATAAAGTAACATATGCTCAGAGGACGATCTTATGATACTTGTCAATATTCAGCAACTTGTATTTTAATAAAGGCGTAAGATATATATATAGGTAATCCACAGGTTGCTCATTCACAAAGAGACCAAACAATAGATCATAACAACTGACTGTACTTTGAAATAGAAGAGATTTTTGATAATCATGATATACAATATTACCATGTAGAACTTTCAGCTGTGCAGCATTACATTCCTTAATATTGAGTCTGCACTTTGCCCAACTTTTATCTGGATCATCAGAAGCTGGTACCAAGACATGTGCAATCTGAATATGTGCTTGGTATTAGTAAAATAGTAACATGAAGTGGAGTAAAATCAAATGGAAACATGCAAAAAGTCCTCAATGCTTGGATTGGTAACTCTAACCTGCCAAAAATCGTAGGCTGCATTGACAAGAAATACCGGGGTTCTAATGTTTTTAAGGAAATTTTCAGGAAACATACACTGCAAATCGAAATCAAGAAGTCTCAACACCAATCAAGATTTTACCAGGAGATGGAAATACAAAATCAAAGTAAGAGACAAAACCTACCTTAAATGGATCTGTCTTGGCTACACATTTCTGATCCAAGCTCTTATGTACACCCTGGTTGGTTGGTATCAACCGCAGCAAAACCAGCCCAGAACCAATCAAAAACCCATGAGATGTTCTTGTTCACTTCAGTGAAAATTCAAGATAATAATGTATTACAAAGTATGGTTTCGAGACTATAGACAGAAAGTGAATAAGAACCTGCAGGTTAGCAATATCATGATAGAAAGATCTCATTGTAGGGTTCCCATGGACATCAGGCCTGAAATGAAGGAAGTAGAAGTAGCTTTACTGAGACTGAGAGACAGTGTTAGCTGATTTCACATTGACACCGATGTCCTAGCTCTGTGGAGTATTATAGTCTGCTAAAAATTCTAGAAATTTTTTAAAGGTGTGTTTCTTTAAACCAACTTAGACACGAAGAACTTAACGGAAGAGCACCGGAACACATGAGTCTGTGGGAAAAAAATCATGAGAAAAGGCAGTAATATGAGCAAAAACTTACACATTGAGAAAATATCCTCCATCGGAAATACATTTGACAGCTGCATCTTTTGGCAAATGATCTCGAAAGTAGTCACAATGTATAAGAGATGCCAAGCCACCAGCAGAACATCCTGTAAGAATGGCCTGTTTCGCATCAGACATGCCCATCGACAACAGTTCAGCCATGATTGCCTCCCAAATGAGTTGGCCCCGGAAGAAAAGCCGTGTTTCATTCTGAGAAGAGAGACAAAGAAACATGAAACTATGGATCTTATTGCTGCTCTCAACAGAGCCTGACACAAATTCTCAGCCTACTAAAAGCCATATTACCTTGAATTCAGCTTCAGGGCGTCCAGCAAAAGAAGCACCATCACAGTACCGTACCATAACTCTGTTCCAGTTAAAGAAGTCTGCAACAACAAAGACGACTATAGATTCACAAAACTCAACACATACAAGCAGTACAGAAGAAGCTACTATAGTGATTTCTCGTACCAGGATTTTGAGATGGGTCACTGCTTAAAACACCTTGAAAGGCCACTTCATCTTCAAAGTAGTTAGAAGAGCCTAATCTAGTCATTGCTCGAGAAGAACATGACGCTATTGTACTGCACCAGCCTCCACCCTTAAATACATTTCACTCAAACACATTCTAAATCGAATTTCCAAATTCAAATCAACAAAAATAAGAATACCTCCAAATGAAGAAGCCAGCTTTTTGATCCAGATCCTGAACCATTACGAAAATGGTACCCAGGCAAGCTTCCATCCAAACAAACTGCGAAATCCCAGAAATTCCGATAAAATCTCAGAAATTTTTTTTCAAACAGTAAATCGAAAAGGAGAGAATTTGTAAGAACAGTACATGCTCCTCTCTCTTTGGCTTTACTCGACAACTTCAGTTTGACCAGATCGGGAGGGTATGCGATGGGTAGAGGTCGGTCAACGGAAGGGACGGAGTCAGAAGTGGAATCGAAGAAGAAAGAGAGGAAAAAAACGATCAATAGGAATCCTAAGAAAGCGACAAGCCAATCGCTTTTAGCCCATTTTCTGCATCGAAACAGAGAGCTTAACCTCGGAATCGCCATTGAAGAACAAGCAAAACGAAGTAATCACTAAAAGTACAGTGTTGATGTGGGACCCACGATTTAGTGTATGCCCAATCAAATGAATAATCAATACGTAATTGAAAATAACCTCGTAACCACTTAAAACCAGGTTTGGCAGAGCCGAAATACCGGTTTGAATCGGTTTTTAATTTGAGATGATAAAAGCCTCCTTTTGAGTTAGAGGGTTTTTTGTAAATTTTGAAATCTTACGAGAGAAGCTACTTTCCCGCATTGTACGAAGAAACAGTGAAAGTGGAGGGGAAAAAATAAAACAGTGAAAGCTGTCCATGGCGTCTTCGTTGTCACGATCTTTGGTTTCTTCCTATACCTTCGATGATAAAGATCTAGACGACGCTGATTTATGGGCGGTAATTGATTCCGCCGCCGCTGCAATCTGTCAAGAGAAGACTTCTTCCGCCGTCGGGAATTCTCCGAAACCACTCGCTGTTAGGTATCCGAACTACAATTCTCCTCCGACGCCTGTTTCGTATCCTCCTCCTCCACAGTCGAAGATTATTCAGGTTACGAATCATAACCCTAGCTTTAATCGGCGATTACCGGAAGAGTCACTGCGTCCGAACAAAATGGCTAGATCTCGCGTCTTGTCTGAGGTGAAGAGTGAGAGGAGTGAGAGTCCTTTGGCTCTTGTTACGACGGCGAACCGTAATTCGACTCCGGTTATTCATTCTACGAAGTTTTCTTCGCCGGAGAATTACTTGTCGCCTGGGATCAGGCAGTCTACTACGCCCCTCTCGGTGGTTTCTCCGCCGGCGAGCTGCGTTAAGAACGATCCGGTTAATGAGATGCGACATAGCTTGTCTGGGAGCTTTCCTTCTGCCACTCTGTTCAAGGAATACCAGAACACAGCCATGGAGGTAGTTCGATTTTCCTCTATCCATTTAGAATCTGGTGAGAGTTTAGTGCATTGAAGGTGTTTGATGAAATGACAAGCCGTGTTTTGCATGATTTTATTTTGATCATGACTTGTTAATAACTTCGTTTCTTCATCAAGTATCTGCTCAAAAACCAAAGAACCCAATAGATCACTAGTTTGTGAGTGAAAGAGAGTTTTTGTTTGCTGTTATGGAATCACTAGTATTTGTTATTGTTACATCAAATGCTATGATTTTTTGGATAACATGACTAAATCAATTTTTACAGATTCTAGAGAAACCTGATTACACGATGATATCAGGGAAAGCATACATTAAAAAGTCAGGTGAAGATAATGCTCTCCGTCTGCTTATTGTTATCTAAACATTTGATATTTGATTTTGATGCTGCATTGTATGGAATGTGTAGGTTGGAGGAAAATATCGTTTTACTTCAATGTGTCTTATGAAATAAAAGACAAGACTATTGAATTCGATGAAAACAGAAATGTCCAGCGTGCTGAGTTCATCGTCCGAGCCATTATGCAGTAATGTTTTTCTATATAAACCCGAATTTGATTATGGGTTTAGCAGATATTGTGAAATGATTAATTGTTGTTTAACCTTTTTGGTTTATGGGCTTTATCAGCGGAGGAAGATTCGCTGACGGATGGGGCTCTTGTGAGCGACGTGAGAAGAAATTCCTCAAACCAAATCATGATATTCCCAGTACGGCAGAGACCAGAGCCAAAAATAGAGCTTGCCAGGTACTTAAGAAATTGCTAAGTGATTTTGTCAGACTATACTTGATGAATTTCAAACATCTGCAAGGTAACAAAGAAGCTTAGAGAATCAAGTAGCTTAACATGAAGGGGTTTTAGTGTTAAGGTCCTGTATATATGAAAGAATTGTCGAGAGAAGACAACACACTGATATCTTACACTTTACCATCAAACTGAATGCTCGTTATTAAACATGGGTCTTGCACAACAGTTTGGTTTTAGTATTGGATACTCTTTTAACAAGCTCAAGTAATTGATTTAGTACAAAAATTAGGAAACAGAGCATGTGAACTTCAAGAAACTAATCTTTAGGAGTGCAAAGTTCTAACAATCTTATACTTGTATATTCTTTGCTTCAGTGTTCATTGTGTGGTTATGTTCTTCCTAAGAAGCTGTTTTTCCKCTGCAGGATCTTCTAGGAATCGGTGAATATCGACAAAGCCCAACTGAGTTTCCACGCTGATCAGAAAACATAAAATGTGTTTCCCGACTTTGCCAGTACCAAGCTAAACAATATAAACAACCAAATCAAGACCGAGTAGATATGTTATATGCGTCTTCATTGTTTTACAAGAAAGCCGATCACTCAACAGTTTTCGTGGATTTAAGTCTTGACTTCATATGAAGAATCCGAATAAAACGTGATTGTAGTGTAATGGATTATAATTTGTGTCGCGTATTTAGTGATTCCATCTAAAATCAACAAAACAAATGCTATCTCGTAGAATTATTCCTCACACATCCGATTGAAAATGCAGCCATAAATTCATACCATCGTTTCTTACTTCAGTTATCAAAAAAAATGTCTTCGAAGAGACAAAAGACACTCTTGATCTGATTCCAAAGCTATGGATTCCGTACACTTTGGAACAAGACATACCTCTAAAATCTATACTTCCCTGGATAAGCCCATATCTTCCCATCAAACTCACTCCCATAACCGCTTCTAATCGCCACTGCTTTTCCCATCTTAAACACAATCACATATCTCAAACTACGGTGAGCTTCCCAATGCAATACTCACCGCTTCCATACGATTACGTCAAATACAAAGGAGACTTAATCACTTGTATTTTGATTTTGAGAAGAAATTTTTTACTTTTTGAAAAATTATAAAGGTGATTGTTCTTCATTTTCATGTTTATTACTACTTTCGTTTTGATTGACTAATCTTGAATCAGATCAGGATGGGAACCGTATAACCATGAGAAAAGACGATAACCAAAACATTTTCTGTTTTTAGATTAAAAAGAGATAATGAGCTTAAGTAGCCCCCAAAACTTAGTTAACACGAAAAAGAAGAGAAACAAAAATGGGGACAAACTAAAATAGTAGGATAAAATGTTGGAAATACAAACACACGAGACTTGAGAGACAGAGAGAGAAGCGAAAAAGCTTAGTCGACTTCCTCGATCTTGGGACCTGGACCTCCAGCAGAAGGAGGAGCATCATCATCCATGCCTCCTGCAGCACCTGGACCACCAGCTTCACCACCTTGGTACATCTTGGCTATGATCGGGTTGCAGATACTCTCAAGCTCCTTCATCTTGTCTTCAAACTCATCACACTCTGCCAACTGGTTACCTTCAAGCCATTCAATGGCTGCTTCGATAGAGTCTTCAATCTTCTTCTTGTCATCAGCCGCAAGCTTCTCGCCAATCTTCTCATCGCGGATTGTGTTCCTCATGTTGTAGGCGTAGTTCTCGAGAGCATTCTTGGCTTCAACCTTCTTCTTGTGGTCTTCGTCCTCTGACTTGTACTTCTCTGCCTCTTGAACCATTCTCTCGATCTCGTCCTTTGACAACCTTCCCTTGTCGTTGGTGATCGTGATCTTGTTCTTTTGACCTGTGGTCTTGTCCTCGGCCGAGACGTTGAGGATACCGTTTGCATCAATGTCGAAACAGACAGTGATCTGAGGAACACCCCTTGGAGCTGGAGGGATACCTGAGAGCTCGAATTTACCGAGGAGGTTGTTGTCCTTAGTTCTTGCTCTCTCCCCTTCATAGACTTGGATCAAGACACCGGGTTGGTTGTCTGAGTAAGTTGAGAAGACTTGTTCCTTCTTGGTGGGAATTGTTGTGTTCCTTTGGATCAAGACAGTCATGACACCTCCAGCAGTCTCAAGACCAAGAGAAAGTGGTGTGACGTCGAGCAAGAGGAGATCTTGTACCTTCTCGTTACCCTCACCGCTGAGAATAGCTGCCTGAACAGCTGCACCATATGCTACGGCCTCATCTGGGTTGATGGATTTGCAAAGCTCTTTACCGTTGAAGAAGTCAAGGAGCAATTGCTGGACCTTGGGGATACGGGTAGAACCACCGACTAGGACAACATCATCGACTGAGCTCTTGTCCATCTTAGCATCACGAAGACACTTCTCAACAGGCTCCATACACTTTCTGAAAAGATCCATGTTAAGCTCCTCGAATCTGGCACGGGTGATTGGGGCGTAGAAGTCAATACCCTCGTACAGAGAGTCAATTTCAATGGTGGTCTGAGCGGTTGAGGAGAGGGTCCTCTTTGCTCTCTCACAAGAAGTTCTCAACCTCCTTAGCGCTCTAGGGTTTCCGCTAATATCCTTCTTGTTCTTCCTCTTGAACTCTTGGACAAAGTGGTTCACCATTCTGTTGTCGAAATCCTCACCACCAAGATGAGTGTCTCCAGCAGTCGCCTTCACTTCAAAGATACCTTCCTCAATGGTCAAAAGAGAGACATCGAAAGTACCACCACCAAGATCAAAGATCAAAACATTCTTCTCTCCAACACTTGTAGCCTTCTTGTCTAGACCATAAGCGATAGCAGCTGCAGTAGGCTCGTTGATGATTCGCATAACATTCAGACCAGCAATAACACCAGCATCCTTTGTTGCCTGACGCTGAGAGTCATTGAAGTAAGCTGGAACAGTAACGACAGCGTTTTTGATTGTGGAACCGAGGTAAGCTTCAGCAATCTCACGCATCTTGATGAGAATCATGGAAGAGATCTCTTCAGCAGCAAACTCTTTATCTTCTCCCTTGTAGTTTACTACAATCATGGGTTTGTCTGCAGGTCCTGGAATGATCTTGAAGGGCCACAATTTCATGTCGCTTTGAACAGAGGTGTCACTGAATCTACGACCAATCAACCTCTTCGCATCTGTAAGTAACATGAAAAATAAAAATCGAATACGATTAATAGAGGATTACTAAATCAGGAAATCTCTTAAAAGAATGAAACAAAAGCAAAAATCCAAAGTCTTATCAAAACCCAAAACTGTTTCACAATGAAAAGATGAACTAAATCGAGTTCCTAACAATCTTCCTACTTAGTGATAAACATAGCATCAATCAAATCGATATAGATCTGCATATGAAACCCTAAATTCATCTATGTACAGATCTACTCATAACCTAGCTATGGAAGGACAAATTCGATAACAGAACCAACAATCGAACATCAGATACAGAGAAAACGAGAAGAAACGTACCGAAAACAGTGTTAATCGGGTTCATGGCAACCTGATTCTTCGCAGCGTCACCAATCAAACGCTCGCTGTCCGTGAACGCGACGTACGACGGTGTCGTCCTGTTACCTTGATCATTAGCAATGATCTCAACACGGTCGTGTTGCCAAACTCCGACACAAGAATACGTAGTACCGAGATCGATACCAATCGCAGGACCTTCTCCTTTACCGGCCATTGTTAAACTATACGCAAAATCGAAGAGAACAAAAAAAAAAGCTTAGAGAAGAAGAAGAAGTGCGGCTAGGGTTTTTGATTTTTTCCGTAAGATGAGGCCGATGGAGAAGTCTATATAGAGTTTTGGGCTCATGCTTCGAGAATGTTCGATTGATCGTTCTATAACCGTACGATCTTTTGGAGTTTGATCTGACGGTCGTGGAACGATTCTTCTTTAAACTTTTTCCTTTTTTCGCTCTTTAAAAATTTGAAGCGCGTAAGGGAATTTGGGGACTCCAAGGCGTTTTAAAAGGTTCGAGAAGTTTCGATTCGGTGGCTTAGTCCCTAATCAAGAGTCGGTCATTGGCTGAAATTTCCTTGCGTTTTCATTAGCTTTAAATTGTCCATCACCGTCAGTATTTGCTAATGCTAGCTAGACACGTATTTTATAACTTTATTATTTTTAATTTACATAAAATATCTTGGTTAAAAATTCAACAAACTTTTTGAATAATATCTGTTTTTTTTTTATTTTAATACTCAGGATACATGATAGATGATTTTTTTCTTAACAAATAACCCGATATTT